AACTCCCTACCCCAAACTCTGGGCAACTACTAATCTACTTTCTGTCTATAGGGTTCCCTCTTCTGGACCTTTCGTATGAATGACATCATACAATATGTGGTCCTCTGTGCCTTCTTTCACTTCAGATAATCTTTCAAGGTTTATTCATGTGGTAGCATGTATCAGTAAATCATTTCTTTTTGTTGCTGAATAATATTCCATTGTATGGATATATCACATTGCATTTATCCACTCCGGTTTATTTCTGCTTTTTGGCTAATAGGAATAATGTTGCTATGAACATTTGTGTACAAGTTTTTCTGTGGACATACATTTTCATTTTAATATGTACCTAGAAGTGGAATTGCTGGGTCATATGGTAACTAAAAGTATGTTTAACCTTTTGAGGAACTGCCAGACTGTTTTCCAAAGTGGTCGCACTGTTTTACACTCCCACCAGAGGTTCCAATTTCTCCACATCCTTGCCAATGCTTGGTATTATTTGTCTTTGATTTTTAGCTATCCTATTGGGTATGAAGTGGTCTTTTATTGTGCTTTTTGGTTTGCGTTTACTTGATGGCTAATGATGTTGAGTATCTTTTCAGTGATTATTGTCTATTTTTATATCTTTGGCTAAATATTTATTCAGATTTTTGTCCATTTTTAACTGAGTTGTCTTTTTATTATTGAGTTAAAATAGTTACTTATATGTTCTTGATACAAACCTTATCAAAATAAGATTTGCAGAAATTTTCTCTCATTCTGTGGGTTGTTTTTTTACTTTCTTGATGGTGTCCTTTGAGACACAAATATCTTTAATTTTGATGATGTATAATTTACCTATTTTTTCTTTTTTTGCTTTTGCTGTTGTATGTAAAAAGCCATTGCTTAATCCAAAGTCGAAGATTTATGCCTATGTTTTCTTCTAAGAGTTTTATAGTTTTAGCTGCTATATGTAGGTCTTTGATCCATTTTAATTTTTGCATATGGTGTGTGGTAGAGTTCCAGCTTCATTCTTTTGCACATGGATATTCAGTTGTCCCAGCACCATTTGTTGAAAAGGCTATTATTTCCCCAGTGCATTTTCTTGGCACCCTTGCCAAAAATCAGTTGACCATAGATGTGAGAATTTATTTCTGGACTCTTGAGTTCTGTTCCATTTATCTACAATGTCTATCCCTATGCCAGTACTACATTGTCTTGGTTACTGTAGCTTTGTACTAAGTTTTGAAATTGGGAAGTCCTCCAACTTTTTTTTCTTTTCCAAAATGGTTTTGGCTAATCTGAGCCTTTTGAATTTCCATATGAATTTTAGAATCAGCTTGTCAATTTCTGCAAAAAGACAGCTGGGATTTTGATAGGGATTCCATTGAATCTGTAGATAAATTTAGGGAATGTTGCCATCTTAACAATATTAAATCTTCTATCCATGAATATTGGGATATTTTTTTCATTTATTTAGGTCTTCTTTAATTTCTTTCAACAATGTTTTGTAGTTTTCATGTACAAATGTTGCACCTACTTGGCTAACTTTCTTCCTAAGTATTTCATTGTTTTTGATGCTATAGTAAATGGAACTGTTTGTTCAATGTCATTTTCAGATTGTTCATTGCAGGTGAATAGACATACAATGGATTTTTGTATATTGGTCTTGTATCCTGCAACTTTGCTAAACTTACTAGTTCTAATACTTTTTAGTGGATAATTTTCCATGTGTATACAAGTCTTCCTTAAAAGTATTGTTTAGCTTTTGGTAACTGACACTTCAGTATTGTCTCCTTCTACCTCCTCCTCTTTCTCCTCACCGACCTTCCCATGTGCCCTGAAAGAGACCTACAAACACATATAAATGGATTCTCCTTCCTTTGTTGGAACTGACCTTGTGTATTGTACTAAATTTGGAATAGAATCCAATGAGTAAATTCTTAAACAGGTATCTTGAGAACATTGTAGTATTTTCAAAAGTGACTTCAGTATTTTTAAAAGTATGAGTCTGATAAGTATGGGAAAGATGTTCTTGAAGTTTTTATTATCAGTGGTCTTTGTCAGAAATTTAAGAAATGTAAAATAAAGCAACTATAAGGAGCCACTCATCCATCTAAAAGAGCAAAAATAAAAGTGATAAAATCCAACATTGGCAGGGTTATGAAGTGACAGTCGTGTCCATATATTGCTAGTGACACTGTAGGTTAGTTTAATCATTTGTATGGTAAGAACCATAAAAATGAGCCTATTCACCTAGTTCTACTCTACGGATATGACTCAAAAATTAAAAACTATTTGTATGAAAGCTGTTTAGCTCTGATAGTTATTTAAAAAAATAAAAAGAAAGCAGAAGCCCCAAACCCAACAATTGGAGGCTAGTGAAGCAAATTATTATATTAATATAATGAGGGACCATTATATTACAACTAAACATCATTAATATGTTCACTGTGTAGATTCAAGGAAGATGAGAGACGAAATAAGTGGGAAAAAAAACTTAAAATACTGAGAACATTGACAACTAAAAATAGTTTATATAAGGAGAAAGAAAATGTATCAAAGTTATATAAAGTTTATATTTCAATGCAACTTTGATTGAATGTAAAATGTATAGTGTATTTGCCACCAAACATGCAGACTTTTCTTACTTAGTAGTTCGCTCTTTTGGATCTATTAAATATCTTAAGGAGATTTTGACTTTGTGTGCTGGACCACGTGCAATGTATAAACTCTGTTCATTGTTCTCAAGAACCTGAAGTACAAGCTTGTTGTGAACACTCACCTGTTTCAATGGTTCTATTAAAACTTCCCACATGGCAAGAATTGGCAATTGCAGCAATAGACTTGGAAACCAAGTTTCATCAAAGGGAGCCCAGGGCCAGGGTGACCTCTGAGGTGACTAGCACTGTGGGGACAGCTGGAGAGCAAGAGGAAGAGGCCTTGGGTGCCAGAAGGAGCCAGAGAAGGAGCTCCAGGGAGTGACTGCACCCACCCTGTACTGTGCTTGAATCCCTACTTTAACAGCTCTGAGAAGGGTTTCTGCTTGGGCTTTTCCAGGGGAGGGGAACGCACTATCTCCCAGAGCAATCTCTTCCATCTGGACAACTCCTTTTGCTAGAAGGTTCTTATGTCTGGCTAAAGGCCTGCCTCTCTGCTTTCCACCTACTCATCCTATTTCTGACTGATCTTTGAGGCCCCATAGAACAAGTCTTATCCATAGGACAGCTTTCCAAGGCAGTTTTTATGCCTCCCAAGTTGCCAGTTCTCCAGGTTGAGCCTTCTCAGTGCTGCCAACCATTCCTCATTCATTTGGTTTCCATCCCTTTCCTGGTCCTGGTGCTGATCCCTGGCTATACCACAGTTTGTCATTGTTGCTTTTATAGTGTGCTGCCTGGAACAGAATACCTTGCATGGCAAAACCAAACAGTGCTATACTATAAATCATCTGCCTGGGGTCTCTCTTGTCCTTGTGCAACCTAGAATTGCACTAGTTTATTTGGTATCTGTTATTATATCACTGACTTCTGTTGAGCTTATTATCAACAAAAACCCATAAACAGCATTTTTTCCCCTTTTCAACGTTCATGCAGTTGCCAAGCCACATCTCCCACATCCTGCGTTGCTTCTTGGACTTTAGATTTATAGATGCCAGCCTCTTTTCGAGCAGTTTTCTTAGCAATAATCTGCTGTGGGTAACTTTAGTTTTCATACACAACATAAAGAGGCCTCTTCATAGCGTTTGAAATAAATTGAGCGTCTGTACCAAGTAAGCAACAGAGTGGTTTCTTGGTTTATGGGGAGGGATTAGGGAACTTGTCAGTCCCTGTATACTGTCCCTTCTCCCCTAATAATATGCAGGATTCACCTGCAGGACTATTCCTCAGACACGTTTGGTATGTTGCACGGAACTAGAAATTAGCTGTTGTTTGCATAAATAATTATATTCATTGATTCCTGGAATATTAGAGCTAGAGAGTTGCCAAGATAGATTTTAGTTCACCCCTCCCCTTTTTATACATTTGAAATAAAGACTCTAGACAAATAAGGAGAATTGTTCCAAGTTACTAAGCAAACTGGTGATAGAGGCAGCCTTGGCACCCAGGCCTCCTGACATACATAGAAACTTAGCTTATTAACTTTTGCATGAATAGCAGCTTTCAACTACTTCTAATTTTTTTTTCCTGGCCCCTTTATGAGCTTAACTGCCCCAGAGCTAGATGACTTTCTTGAACTCCTCCAGCATGTGAGTAAATTACACCCTCCTAGATATGCAGCAAAGTTCACTCTGCTGGTGAAGCTAGGCAGGATTCCCTCTGGAGCTTCCAAGCCCTTTACTGGCTTCCTGCCAAGCACTTTTCTTGTGACATCACGTGGAGTTCCACCTCCATTCCAGTTGGTAGGAAAAAAACGAGGTCATCCTGGAGCACTCAGGTGCCAGGGTGGGGCCAGTTTCTGAAGCGTCACCTGGGACTGGACTCGTGGGAACACTCAGCACAGAGCTACCCTCTGGCAGCTAGCGTTGGGTGTCTGCTGGGTGGTGTGTTGTGATGGCCGGCTAAGGTCCTATCTCCTCACCAGGCCTCTGAGACTCAGGGTGGGCATCCAGCCGTATGCTGGGGGATAGCCCCTTAGAGGCAGGCAGTTGTGCCCGTCTGCCAAATGTCACAAGGATTTCTCTTTGTCATTTTTAATGTTCATGTACCTTTTTTCCCTCACTTGATTGCAGATTCTTGGATGGCAGGAAGTGGAGTCATTTACATTATATTGTAATACTCTCTCATGCAACTGGCACTACATTCAGATATTTCCAGATTCAGGCAGAGCGTCAGGATGTACGTTTACTGCTTTGCTGCTACCTGGACAGGTCTCTTTATCTGTCAAATGAGCAGTTGGAGTGACCTCTGAAGGCTCTTGTAGCAACAGTTTCTAGGATTCTGGGGGCCTATGTGACTCCCAAAATGTATACTTATTGTGTACGTATCTTAGAGAAGTCATTGTTCTCTTTTCCGTAGTAGCATTACGGAGAAAGTCCACCCAGGGGACACCACCTTCACCATCCTTCCCAGCACACAACAGGAAGGGTTTCTTCTTTCACCATCTTAAAAAAATTGGCAAATCTGTAAAAACAAAAAGGAAGAAAAGAAGGGTTGTCGGGGGGAGATACTGGGACAAGGGCCAGTGGTGAGTACCTCTCATGTTCCTGGTCTTCCTCTCCGCTGCTTTCAGCTGTCATTTCTCAGTATTCAGGCTGGGTTGCAAGAAGAGTCCTAGAGTCAGGGGACAAGAGTCAGCAATGAGTTCCAAAGAGCACAGGATAGGCCCGAGCTCATGGCAGAGAGAAAGAGAAAGTCATTGGTGGCTCTGGGACCTGGTGGTGAGTTTGAGCAGACCTGGATGACGTGGAGGGGATTTCTTGAATGCAGCAAGGTTCTTCCTCTAATGAAAGCAGAGGAAAAATAGGATGCAGTCAGGAATATTCAGGTTGCGTCCTTTGAGAGCTTGCTCTTGGGACAGATGGACGGAGAAACAATTTAACTATCGGTCAAGGTCTAAGAAATCAGCTCAAAGGAAGCGATAGCTAATCCTGACCTAAGGAACAGGGACGTCTTCTTGGAAGTGTCTGTCTGTATCTTCCCGCCACTCCTCCCAAGCATGCCTCACCCCTGCTCTGTCCAGGTGTGCTGTGGCAAATTTTGAAACTTATGAGTATGGCACCGACTGGGAAGGCTGGGAGGCAGAAGCTGAGTCAGCTCCGCCTGCCCGTGTGGACTTTGTACCTTTTTTATTTTCATAAGTACAGGCACTCGCACTGTACTTCATAGTGCAGCTATCACTGAGCTGTGACAATGGCTGCTTCTGCCCCAGAGCCCACCCCAAGCTTAGAGCTAAAGGCCCCAGCCACTAGAGGTCATCACATTGACCCTGTCCCCCCAGCTACCATGTCCACGCAGAGACTTCGGAACGAGGACTACCCTGACTACAGCTCCACGGACGTGAGCCCCGACGAGAGCCCATCCGAAGGCCTGAACAACTTCTCTTCCCCCGGCTCCTACCAGCGATTTGGGGAAAGCAGCAGCAGCACAACGTAAGTAGCTGTTCCTTCTCCCCTCCTGGGGAGATGCACGTTCCTAAGCTCTGTGTTAGTGACGCAGACTCCATTAGAGTTATTTTTGCTTCCCCGTTATATCAATTCTCCACTTTCTAGATGAAACTAAGATATAATGAAACTGGGCAATTAACAGTGCTGAGATTTGCGCTCCTCTTGGCCGGCCTGTAGTCTCTTTCTTATTCTTTGTTCATTTTTGCTGTGTTGGTCCCAGAAGGCTGGTGCTGAGTAGAGCCTGAACATAAGAAAAACATACACAAACCTCAAAGGCCTGCCAGCCCAATGGGAAGCCTCCTTTGCAAAGTCTCCCCCAGACTTCTGTCCCTGTCACCTATAACAGCGAGCTTATTTGGCTGAAATAATGGGAAGAGGGAGGAATAACTTTTCCTGCGCTTAAAAAAATTTCAAGGGGTTGATAGAAAAGAGATCTGCATTGCCTTCTCTGAGAAGGGCTTATGTCTCATCCCCGGAAACTGAATCCCAAGACTCATTGGACTGAGTTTTGCACTCTGTGGACCTTAGTTTCCCCAAATGTAAGATACAATTGACCCTGCTGTGAAGCTATGCTCCCTGTCTGGTGCTCATCACTCATATGAGAAGATTCACAGGAGGGTCTTCTATTTGACTGAGTTCCCTGACACGACCCCCAATCTCATCAGACCCCTGACATTTTCTTGGGATCCCAAGATTCCATCTTTTGCAGTCCTGTTTATTCCCAAGCTTAGCTATCACCCTTTCTTTGTTCCTGTGTGAGTTGGGTGTGACTTACTGAGGGATCCTTTCTGTTCTAGACTTACACTGTCCCATGTGTTCCAAGGAGACCGTGGAAGCTTCTCCTGGAGCTCATTACTGGCGAAGCTCCCTCAGGCTGTAGCAGGGCTCTTTCTCTGGTGACCTGGGCTAGAGCTAGATCTGAACTGTCCACATTACCAGCACGCCTCCACCACTAGCGGACGCCTGCTCACAGAGCTTCAGTCTCCACAGCTTATTCCTCCTGAGGCATGCTTGTGTGGATTCTCCCATCTGCTGGCATTGTTAGCTGATGGAGACGATTGCTTAGAGCACAACTGGCAGCAGTAAGGACCATCTTTCCCTCTTTTCTCCTAACCTTTCCCACCCACTTGGCTTCCCCCAGGCAGAAGGAGCTCCATATGCTGCCAGTGACATGTGACTGCTTCCCTTCAGAAGTCACACTCGTTATTGTGAAATATTTCTTCTAAGCTTCTCTCTCTCTAGTTTCTCTTCCAGTTTTCACTCCTTGTTCTCAGGCATCAGCTTATATCTATGCGATGCTTGCCACACGGTCTAGATTTTCATTTTTAAAGGGACCTCTCTGAAATTCAAAACCAACCAGCTAGCAACTCCAGGATGAAAGCCCGCAGGCTTTATATGCATTGAAGCTAATGGATGCCTGTTAGCTGTTCTGAATATCTCTTGTTTTCCACATTGGGTTACAAGTAGTCAACCCCATGTTATTTCCCCTTGTTTGTTGGAAATCGAACAGACAGAAGATACCTTCCTTGGGATTGTATTGGGGGTATTTTTCAGGGTATACTTTGTTCTGAGAGGCACCCTGTTCTGATATTGTGATATAAGATAGATGACCAGGAAAGCCCATCTGTACGTGATGACAGGTATCATAGTCCCATCATAAGTGGTACAGGAAAAAGTACTCCCTTGAAACTTGGAGGAGTGGTTGAGCACTTTCCTGGGAACTGAATCCACACAAGCATTATAAAAAACATACCAGGTATGATTAAGGTATAAGCCGATTTGCGGGACCCTGCTAGCCCACACTTACCGTATTTGCCGGTGTATAAGACGATTTTTTGGCCCTGAAAAATATGCCTCCAAGTGGGGGGTCGTCTTATACGCCAGGTACACTTCAGATAGACTGCCCATAGTGCTTGCCCCGTGCCATAGTGGCCTCCCGATGCCCGCCCACTTCATTCCACATACCGTTCAGGCATCAGCAGCGCTGCTGGGTATATGCTCGGCTGTTATGCGATTTTGCTGTTATGCGATTTTACCACACTCGCAAAATCGCACACAGCCGACCATACACCCAGTATGATAGCGCAAAATCGCGAATCGCGATTTATGTATATGTTTGATTACATACAGCCTTGTGACAGTTTTCCTGCATGTCATAAGCATTTGAATATAAATATAAATGTTGAAATCAAATCTGATATTGTTTTACCTTTTATTTGGTGTGTGGAAGGTGTGCGGAAGAGGGGGTAGTCTTATACGGCGAGTATATAACAAACTCTGTATTTTGAGTGGAAATGTTAGGGGGTCGTCTTATACGCCCAGTCGTCTTATACGCCGGCAAATACGGTATATGTGAGAAGTGTTAGGGACAAGTTTTTGAGCTGGATTCCTTGTCTTTGTGCCTTGCCTTATCCTGTCACCTAGTTTGCCAAGGAACAAAGTACATGGAAGTACCTCTTAGCCTATTGCATATAAGGATGCATACGCCTGGCTCTTCTTGGAGTTTAAGGGCTCAGTAAAAATCCTCAATCAGGGGTGCAAATAGGAAACCCAAACACTGCCATAGTGATGTGCTTAGTGAGGTTATTTCCTAATACTTGATGTTATCAAGCTGTTAACTGCTTTGGCGACAGCCTCATTTTACCGCATTAGGCAAATTTTTCTTCCTGTTGCCTGGTTGCGTTACATTGGACCAGCTTTCATTGAGCCTCGGTAGTTCTTCCCCAGGCTGGCCGACTTAGAAAACAGTTGACTGAAACTGGCTTTCTCTCTGTGATCTGGAGCAGCCATCAGCAATGAGTGTTCTGCAAACCCTAGAGGTTCCTGAGACCATTTCAAGAAGTCTGAAAAGTCAAAACTATGTTCATAATAATGCTAAGATGTTATTTTCCTTTTCACTGTGTTGACATTCGCACTGATGGTAGAGAAGCAATGGTGGGTAAAACTGCTGGCGCCTTATCATAAATCAAGGCAGTGGCACCAAATTATGCTAGTCATCGTCATATTTTTCACTGCCATTTATGTGCAAAGAATAAGCCAGTTTCACTCAAGCGTGTCCTTGATGAGGCAGTCAGATTACTAATTTCATTAATCTCGACCCTTCAGTACAGGTCTTTTAATAGTCTGTGTGACACTATGGTAGGTATGCATGAAGCACTTCTGCTACATCCCAAGGTATAATACTTATCTCAAGGAAATGACCTTGGATGATTATTTGAGCTGTGAACTGAATTAGCTGCTTTTTTTTTTCATAGAACACTATTTTTGCTAGAAAGAACAATTTGTAAACTATAGATTATTCAGACCTGAGTACTTGGTAGATATTTTCTTGAAAACGAAAGGAATGAGATTATCACCTGAAGTAAAACAATCAGCAGTATTTATTGCCTATAATAAAATTAGAAAAAAACTTGTATCCAGTACTGTGCCCCTGGACAGTTTACCTCAACTTAAAGATTCTCTGATGAGATCATTGATGATGGTAATAAATGTGATTTTTTTTGATATTGTATAAGGTAATATGCCAGCGTTGAAAGACCTGCATAACCCAGAGAACCAATATCTTCCAGACGACCAAAGTGTGATGTTAGAAAACTGGGCATGTGTGGAAGATCATTCAAAGAGCAATGTCACCAGCAGGTTTTAATGTAATAGAGGATGAAAAGTTCAGATTCCATGTTACAACAAACTTCCAAGAAGTGACCGCGTATTGAGTTTTGGTGTAGTATCAAAGAAAAATTACCCCAATTTTCTGAAGAGACGATGAAAGTATTCCTTCCTTCTCCAGCTATGTATCTGTGTGAGGACAGATTTTCAATATATTTCAACCAAAACAGCATATCGCAGCAGAGTGAATGCAGAAGTAGATTATCCAGCTGTCTTTATTAAATAAGACATTAAAGAGATTTGCAAAAAATCTCTAGTGCCATTCTTCTCACATTTTACTTTTTGGAGAATAGAGTTACTTTTTATTAAAAATCTGTTACTTATATTAACATGTAATCAGTTTATTGTTATTTTAAATTAATAAATATTTATACATTTTTTAATGTATAAATAAAATGTTTTAATTTGTAATATAGTATATACCAGCAGACATAAGCCACAAAAGCAAAAGCTATTTGGGATCCTCAATAATTTATAAGTATATGAAGGGGTCCTGAGACCAAAAAGTATAAGAACTACTGATTTGGAGCATACAAAGAACAGCAAAGATTTATAAGGCTTGTTTCTCCCTCCCACCCCCCATCCCATAGTTAAGAGTTTGCAGTCCATGGAGTTGATTGATTTTGTGATACTCATATGGTTTTGGCTAACCCCAGTTTGGGGCCATTAAAAAGAGTAATTTTGGTCAATTGCCTAGAATCCTGGTGTTTCAGAGCTGAAATTGCGAAGTATGCTGTCCTAGTCCAGAACCCTCACTCTACAGATGAGACAACAGGCCCAGAGAAGGGAAGGGAGTTAGTGGCAGAGCCAGAGCTAGAGAGACCTAATCATTAATAAAACTCAGCTCAGAAGCATTTGAGGGGGTGGGGGCTTCTGGTAGGCAGGTGGGATTGGTACAGTGCTTACCTTTGCCCTTAAGTGGATTAAACATTTGCCAAGATGGAAATTTGATTGGCCCATCGTCCTTCCCATAATCTCCTGGTCACTGGCTGCTGATAATGGAGGAGTCACCCCTGGACCCTTGTGGTCTGGTCCTTAAGCAGTTTCCTCAGGATAGTCCAGAAGAACACTCAGCCTCTTCTTTAGACTCGAAGCCGTTTCCTTGATCTTTCCTGCAAAGCTTGGGGACAGTAGGAAATTCAAGAGGTTTCCTGGAAGTAGAAGGAGGAATGTTACTAAAAGTAAAATTCCTTTCCAGAGGGTGCAGATGGCTCTTAATATGGTCTCTCTGAGTAACATGTATTATTTGCTTTCAATTTCTCCTGAATTGCAGATTTGAAGAAATATGTGTAAGCATCATTTAGGAGGGATTTAGGTTATTTGTACAGAAGAATTTCCAGACAGTGCCAGGGGCCAAATCCTGAGTGAGTCTGTAATTTGGGGCAAAGCCATACCGTATTTGACCTGTTTTATATTTTTTTCTGGAAGGAACAAAGAATAAAAAATGCTGAAGATGAGGCCATTCCTCTGCTGTCAGTCCTTTGATGAGTTCACATTCTCGATGGAAAAAGTAGAAATTCCTCCCCCATTCTCACCTCCTTTTGAGTGGTCACGAAACCTACACACACCTCGGTACTGGTGCCACACGTTTCTCTCCAAGCTCGGGTTTCCAGGCCCTTCTTCCCCGTCAGCACATTTACAAACTCTGCCTGTCCTGCTGGCTCTGCTCAAGTCTCTCCACTCTGAGCCTTCCCCTGCCTCCTCTCCCTGAGCACTGATGCCGGCTCTTCTTCACACCAGGATCTTTCTACTTGGGTGGTTATCAATGTGTCTGCCTTATTTTCCTTGAGACATTATTAGTTTCTAGAGACTGAGGTCCATACCTGATTCTTACTTATTTCCACCACTGCATTAACGCAACATTTTACACATAATAGATAGTATTTGGTGAGTGAAAAAAATGAATGAGGAAGTGTGAGAGGCTTTACAGTTGCACTTGAGGGGGACAGTCTGTACAATAGGCGAGGGAAAAACCTGTCCTCAAGGCAGATAGGTGACTGTCTGAAGAGGGCTTTTCCAATACTATGACTCTGATGTTTGATGGGTTTTTTTTGTTTTTGTTTTATTTTATTTATTTTTTTATTGGGGTATTGGGGGGAAGGGAATAGTGCTGGGGAATTGGAGGAAGGAGAACAGACAAGTTGCTGTCCTTTTGTTCTTCAGTCTAGCTGTGGAGGACGTTGCTTCACTGGCCCAAGTTGGCACCATCATTGCGCTCTTCCCGGGCGAGGCAGATCAGTCGCTGGCCTCTGGACGGCCACTCACTGCGGCTGCTGGCCACTCACGCTGGCTGCTGGCTACACACGGTAGCCCATGGCAACCCACTGCCACAGGGGCTGCAGCCTACGCCGTCGCCGGCGACTCAAGGCAGCCCAGCTCCAGGTTGAGCTGTTGTTCAGCATCTTAGCTGTGGAGGGCAGTGTCACCGGCCCTCATATGTGGGATCCGAACCGGGGCCCTCTGGCGTTCCAAGCCAGCTCCTAACCATCGCGCCACTCGGCCAGCCCCTTTTTGTTTTTGTTTTAAATGCAAAGTATGCCAGGGACTTCTGGCCTGTTGAGGGATTGCATGACTTTTACTCTGTTCACTTTACATAAAACTTTCTCTTAAGGGTTTTGGGCTCCTATTTTTTTATTTCCCCTGTTCTCTCACACCAGTATCTGTCCTACACAATTAAGCTTGCCATCTTTTGGGATCTGATTTTTCACAGGGGTGGTGAAAACCAGGTCCAGGTACACTAGGAAAGTATGATAGAGTGCCTAGAGAGAACCCCACCATCTCTCTGGTCTAATTGCCAAGAAAGAGGGGGTTCTCAGAAATGCCACAGGGAGTGGAACTTATAGCCCAGTGGCTAGGAGAGCAGGCTTGGCGGTCAGATGGCCTACGTCTGAATCCTGGTTCACCTCTTTACCAGGATGTGAGCTTGAGCAAGTTGCTTCCTCATTCATAAATGAACTTAACACTTGTGGAAACTGAATGAGGTGATGATACATGAAGGCACTTAGCACGGTGCTAAGTACTTAACGTTAGCTCTCATTGTTGTTAACATTCCCTTGTCTACCTTCTTCCTACTTCAGATGGTTCCAGACCTTGATCCACCTGTTAAAAGGCAACATTGGCACAGGACTCCTGGGGCTGCCCCTGGCAGTGAAAAATGCAGGCATCTTGGTAAGTGTCTGCATTGGTGGAGGGAATTATCATGACAAATTTTAGGAGATAGTGCGTTTTAAAAAAATTATACTTCATTTAAAACATTGTAAAATGGGAAGCTTTAACAAAAATTCGACTGAGAAAAAAAACCAAAATTCAGATGTTCATTTGTCTAAAGATATTGATTGAGGGGCTTCTGTGTGCCAGCGAATAAAACAGAAGAAATTGCTGCCTTCACTTCCTGGTAGGGTGGATGTCCTTATAATGTCTTAGGCGGTTTCTGTCAATAATGTTAACTAATGAATTAGTAGCGTAAGTCTGTGCATTTTCTACACAGTCCTTTCATACCCCGGCTCTAGATGGCCGACTCTGAGAATTTTTTTCTTTTACGATTCACCCCCTACAGACTGTCCAGAGCCATTCTGGTTTCTTTTAGAGTTGGGGATGGCCCAGAGCTGCAGACTGGCCTTAGTGAAGGGCAGTCTCTCTTGATCTGATATTGCTTTAAAGAGAACTTTCACCCTCCCCGACACACCCCTTAGCCCATCTCTTCTTCCCAGGCAGTCACAGGAGCCTTCTGTTCCGCTGATTGGCAACAGCCTTGGGTCAGCCTTATCTTGTGTCATTCTTCTGCACGAGATAAATTCTCTCCTAGTCATGCTGAGGTTCAAATGGTGCCCATCTCACTGAGCTAATCTCCGTGATCACATTTCCATCTCTAATGCTGTGCCAGAAGTGCTGTCATTGCAAAATGCCTTAGTAGTGTTTTGGTCATTTGCAAATCCAGGCTCTGTTGGCTCCCTCCTAATCCTACCTGCTTGTCTCTCCCATCTCCCAGATGGGTCCCCTCAGCCTGCTGGTGATAGGCATCGTGGCTGTGCACTGCATGGGTATCCTGGTGAAATGTGCTCACCACTTCTGCCGAAGGTGAGAGCCCTCTGAGCTGCCTCTTGAGTGACAGATTGTCCCCTTGGGCTCCATGACCAGCCCTGAAAGTGAGCACTTACACAAACCACTCTAAATTCTTTGTGCTAGCTGAAGGTGGCTGCTGCTGATTGCAGCATACCTTCCCCCGTATTTCGTGTCCCTTTTCAGCACGTGTCATCTTTCACGTTGACTTATGTCCAGTGGACAGAGAGAACATTCTAATTTCTGTGCTTTGTAATATTTATCCATTGAAATGATTCTACCAAATTGTTGTTAATTATAATGAAAGTAACTGTCCCATTGACTTAACACTTCTGATCCTTGAAAGCATTCACTCCAGGACTCAGTGTTATCTCCAGGATGACAGATAGGGAACTGGCCTTGGTCTCAGTGAGCTACTTTTGGTCTGTCATTGTCTAACCCAAGGGTCGGCAAACTGCGGCTCACGAGCCACATGCGGCTCTTGGGGTACATGTTCCGTTTCAAAAGTTGGCCGACCCCTGGAAAAGCCAATCCTGTCCCTCACAACAATTTAAAAGTTATTTGAGAGCCATAAATATATTTTTACATAATCACCATTATGTGAATAATATCTTTTAAAAATTTTATAAATGAAACTAGGATAGTTTTATTTTCATTTTCTATTTTACTTCAGAGCCACATGTACGTACCCAAAGAGCTGCAGTTTGCTGACCCCTGGTGGCTCTTCCGTCTCAAAAGTTTGCCAACCCCTGGTCTAACCCATGCACTCTGCCCTTTCTTTGTCCCTTCCCTCCTCCCAGACTGAATAAGCCCTTTGTGGACTATGGGGAGACAGTGATGTACGGACTGGAATCCAGCCCCAGCTCCTGGCTCCGGAACCACGCGCACTGGGGAAGGTACCTGGTTTCCTTTTTCCTTGTAGGCTGTGGCCTCTCAGTGTGGAGGTCTTCAGATGGGTGGGTGAGATGTGGGACAGCGTACGAGAGGGAGAGCATCGTTTGGGTCGGTACACCTCTTCTAGTTTAGCTCGCTCAGTGGTAATCTGTGTGACTCTTCCCGTCTTTGGGCCTCAGTTTCTTCATTGGTAAAATATGGGGCCTGGCCTGAAAGATCACTATAGCCCATTCCAGTTTTGACAGTCTATGACCAGTGATTATATTTTATTCCCTCATTTCTTCAGCAAATATATTTAAGTACTGTCTTATAAGTGGTACAAAACAACTCTAGGAACGGAAGGGGGAGTTCCCTGAGGTAGATTATGTGGTCCAGGGGCTGGTAGTCTTTCTAAGGAAAAAAGTGCATGAGAGGCTGGTGAACATGATATCAGGATGAGTGTATACCGGTAGGAAGAGTGTGTCCTGAGCTAGAAGCACATCCTAAGCACTAAGAGGGGAGGAGCTTTCAAGATTCTCTTGTCCGTTGTGCCAGATGAGAAGCACACATGATAGGTGCTTTAAGGGCAGAGCACTGGGAAGAAACAAGGAAGACTTCAAGGAGGATGTGAAATGAGCTGGTGAGGTGAGCTAGAAATGGGTTTATTAGGGAAAGAGACATTTCAGGAGGTAGTGGGTATTTGGAAATTTCTCCTTATGGCAACTTGTCAGATGCCTGAATGGAAATATTCTACTTTTTGTTTTCTATTTGAGGAAACAGTATGTTTAGATGTAGAAAGTTGATACCATCAAGGGGCAAAACCCCTTTTTATATCTTTAAATGGAGACACAGTACAACTATGTTCTCCAGAAAAACTCCTTTTTATGGTCATAGGGAGACTTGCACCTTCACTTATTGTCCACTTCCTCCTGTGATGCAGGTTTATGTCATGCTTTCAGCAAAATCATTTTCTGTGATTGGGAGAAGCCATATTGCCAAGTGACAACTGTTAGTTGGTCGGAGATTGATTGATTCTTTCCTCCCTTCCTCTCTTCCTCCCTTCCCCTCTCTCCTTCTCTCCTTTTCTTTCCCTTCCCCCCTCTTCTTCCTCTCTTTCTTTCTCTCCCTCTTTCCCTCCCTCTCTCCCCATGGCTCCCCCGCCCCCTTTCTTACTCACCCTCTCACTCCCTCCCTTCTTTAATAAAATTAATGTGTGCTCATGGTAAAAAAAATTTTTTTGAGCGAAGTAGAAAGACATACAGTGAAAAATAAAAGTATATACTGGTCATAGTTGGCATGGGTATACTTTTGGTACTTCTCTATATATACAAACATACACATGTTCTTAATGTTTTTATATAAATTAACCATACTGCATACTGTTTGGAAACTTATTTTTTCCCTTAAAAGTCATAGCCATTTCTCTATCAGCACATACAGATTTAACATATGCTTATTACCTGCTGTATGCTATTCCATTTAAGAATGGTCTATAATGCAATCATTTCCTTTTGATGACCCCTTAGGTTGTTACCAGCTGTTGTAACAGTGCTTCACCAGCAGTGTGTTTGGGTATATCCATTTTTGTGTACTTATGTAGATTAGGTTGGTTCTTGGATCCAAGTTATACAAAGTGACTGTGAAGGGGTCCACTTCCTGGGCTGTTTTGCTGAAGGTTCCCTATAGCTTTAGAACAAACGGTGTGAGATGGGACAGGCAGGTCATGGGGAGGGGGAGGCCACGGGGCTGGGCAGTGGTCCTGGCGGGTGTGCTCTGCTTGGGCCATTTTGGTCTTGGGATTGCCTAACCTCATACAGCAGTCCAGACAAGAAGCCAGGAAGGGGACCTCAGAAATCACACAATGGCACCTCCTTCACCTGCTTCCAAAGCTCCAGACTGGTAGCACCTAGCACAGTTTCTTCCCTCACCAGGGCACACTCATTCTTGTCACCCGATGGGAAGGGTCTGTGATGACTGGGGCAAAAGCACTGTTCAAACACCTGTCTTTCTGGGAGTCTTGCTTTTTATCCTCATTATCTTTGTATTCCTTCCCTCTCCACCTTCAGGTACATTGTGGACTTCTTCCTGATTGTCACGCAGCTGGGATTCTGCTGTGTCTATTTTGTCTTTCTGGCTGACAACTTTAAACAGGTAGGGCCCTGGTTAAAAAGAGAAAGAGAATGGCAAGAGCTGAGTGGACTTTCTGTTTAGGATTCCTTTCCAAACCAGTTTTGGTCAACAAAAGAATTAAGATTCTTTACATAGAGCACATTACGTGGAACAGTGTCTTTTGTTTGATTTCATCTAAAGACCTAGGGCATTGAGAAACCTTAAGATGTCTTGTCTGTCCTCCTGTCTTTAGGTACGATATGATCAAATGCAGCTCAAACAGTTGGGTTGCTATGGTAATTACGAAGATCTCCAAAGATGGCTCACTGACCACAGACTTCTGTATGGCCTCATTCACACACTGAACCTTTAGTCAGGAGCCCCTTCTGGTGGGAGGTCCACTGGCCTTTGTCATTTGAGAAGCTTTTGCTGTTTCTTGTCTCCCACTCATTCTAGGTCATAGAAGCGGCCAATGGGACCACCAACAACTGCCACAACAATGAGACGGTGATTCTGACGCCCACCATGGACTCGAGACTCTACATGCTCACCTTCCTGCCCTTCCTGGTGCTGCTGGTGTTTGTCAGGAACCTCAAGGTCCTGTCCATCTTCTCCATGTTGGCCAACATCAGCATGCTGGTCAGCCTGGTCATGATCTATCAGTTCATCGTGCAGGTATGAGCCCCGGCTCCCTCTTCCACCTATGAAATAATCAAAGAAACAAACAAAACAACTAACTAGAGTGTAAATAAGGATATGTTACTTATGTGTGGTATATTTAGATTAGGGGTTCTCAACCTCGGCGCTATTGACATTTTGGGCAAGATAACTCTTTTTTCATAGGGAGCTGTCCTGTGCATCATGGGATATTTAGCAGCTTCCATGGTCTCTCTTTACTAGGTTCTAGTTGTGACAACTAACAATGTCTCCAGATGTTGCCAAACATTCCTGGGGGGCAAAATCACCCCCCTTGAGATCACTGATTTAGACTTTTTCCCAATTAGACATTAATATATGATCATTGTATAAGATTGGAAAGTAGAGAAAAATATTAAGATGAAAATAAAGACTAACTCTTCTAACCTATATTTAGTAAAATAATTCCTTAGCACTCCAGTTTTATATTTATTTGCCAAAATTATAAATCCAGTTATTGTTCCCTCTAGCACAGCCCCTATGAGCAGGTCTGTGGAGTAGTACACAAGAGTACATCTGTGTATAGATAGGTAAAGGATCAGGCTGAGGAAAATGGACCCTTAAATACTGGCTGTTTCTGGACAAGATGATGCATTTTGCCAAAACTTGAGAAAAGGAAAAGTGAAAGCAGGGGAATAAAAGTGTAACTTTCAAAAAACATATTTAAATTTAATTCCCCAAATAACTCATCAATAGATACTCGTTAAAATGCAGACAACACAAGTGCCTGTTGAACACCACATCCCATCCTGCGTCTCTGCCTCTCAGGGCCTCACTGGATGTGATTGGCCTGTCTCCTTTTAGGTCCTCTGAGTGCATGACACACAGTATTAGTATGTACAGAAATATATAAAACAAAAATATTTTTTTAACATAATTTAAAAAATTATTATATGTAGTTTTTGTCTACCTTGCTTTTTTTTCCCCTCTACAATGCCTTAGAGAGCTTTCCATGTTGATACTCCTGGTTTTACCTCATTCTTTTCAATTGCTAAGTAGTCTCTCAGAATAGATGTACCTTAGTTTATTTAACTAGTCCCCAATCAGCAGACCATCAGGTCATTTGTAATTTTTAGTATTATTTCAGTATTATGACAGTGAAATTTTTATATGCTTTCCCTTTTGTGGTCATGAATATTTCTCCAAGATATTTATCTAGAGATGCAATTGCTGAAGAGTATGTACTTTTGGGTTTTTTATATTGTTAGGTTGTGTTTTCCAAAACCTATTTACTGATTTCTTATGTACTATAGAAGGGAGTCTATAAGTCTCCAACCCTAGCTAACACTGGCTATATCAATCTTTAATTTTGGTCAGTCTGATAGGTGAACATTACCTCATTTTCACACAATCTGCTTAGCAGTTTCCCCGTTACCCACTGATGTGGTTTCTAGGAAAACACCGGGTCATAAAAAAGTATGGACATCTGTACTGGAGAAATGATATAATGAATTCCTTCTGCTGGTCTCATTCATGCTAGTATCCCCAGACATGTATTCTGAAATTCCCTCTCTGATACTTCAGCCTGATCTGACGTATGAACCTGGGTAGTAGTTATCCACTAACCGATAAATCGGTCCTGTTTCCAGGAACTTAATTTACACTGTGACTCAGAAATAATTACAGAGCACTCTCAGTCTCGTATCATCGTAGAGCAAAAATATTTATTAGTCTGTCTTCATCCCAGGTACTGAAACACTTCTTGTAAAGAGATCTAACTGATTTCTTAGCAGAGGCTCAGAAAAAAAAGTATTTTTTAATTCTTTATATTTTAGGGAGACCATGTATAATTACTTTGAAACCCTCAAAGAGATGCCTATTACAGAGGTTAATGCTAGGTCTTCTTTTGTTCACTGATCTTATTCTGGCATACTGTTAGAACATGCCCATAGTTATCTAAATACCTTTATAGTTAAATCAGTTTTGAAACATTGTAAAAGGCGGTTATAAAGTCAATTTTTATTTTAACTTAAGCAATGTATTATGCACATGGTTTATTTTAAAAAGCCAAATTCTAAACGGACGGCAGCTTCCGCCCCACTCCATGTCCTGGTCCTTCAATGCCGTCCGCTCCTGAAGACTATTGTCCAGTGGTGAGCCAGGTAGGATTCTGCATCTGCACCTCCTTGCGTGTACAGCCTTACATTGTAGCTGCAGTTGACAATTGCCCTGATTTTTATTTGCCTGTTTTTTAAATGCTCTTTTTGCTATTTTTTCCCAAATGTTCCAATACTCCTGCCATGTACCTATCAATAATATTTCGAAGTACTCAAGCTCATTCACAAGAATTAAAAAGAAAAGAAATAGAAAAGAAAGAAGGAAAAGTAGAGAAAAAAAAGAAAAAGAGCTTGTCTAAAAATGTACCACCTTCCTTTCCAGCTTTATCTGTGTGGAGTGTTTATGTAGTTGTATTATAGTGAATATGTAAATTAAAAAAAATTTTTTACTATTATTTCATAAGCAGTTTTTCACATGCTACTTAGTTATCTCAATTTCTACTTTTTAAATAGTGCATGGTATTCTGTGGTGTAGCTTATGTGCAGTAAACTGAATGTTCACTTGTTTGGGAACATTTAGGTTATTTTAGTTACTAATAGATAGCTTTGCTCAACTTTTTTCATGCTTTAATTCCTTTTTCAACTCGATTAAATTTCTGGGGATGGGATTACCTAAAGAAAGAATGTGACTATGCAAGCTCCAACATTTGAGTTTTTTATGGTACATTGAACTAGTCCTTCCCCAAAGCAAGCAGGGTTTTCTCAGCCTGAAGGGAAAAAACAAAGGCTAAATGTCCCCAAATCACTTGTCAGGTCTCAGACTTTCTCCCGTCCGAGAATTTTGGATTTAGGAAAAGGTATGACCTGTCTGATATTGGGGTTCAAATCTTGAATCTCTGTATAGCCTTTGGTTTGTTTTCTTTTCTGTCTTTCAGGGGATTCCAAACCCCAGCCGTCTCCCCTTGGTGGCATCCTGGAAGACCTACCCTCTGTTCTTTGGCACGGCCATTTTTGCATTTGAAGGCATTGGGGTGGTAAGAGTTGCTGTGATTCTCTGGTGCCCTTGGTGTCCTGGAGGTCTGCTTTAAGGAATGCTGAGGAGATGCTATTAGAAACGATCTTCTGAGACTTACTGGCCAGTCAGTGAGTAGTGTTTCAGGGACCCCACTGAAGTTCCCCAGCTCCAACTTTTGAAAATGAATTGTTTGTAATTGGAGAATGTTTACATGCAAATGCCGTCTTTTGCATACTCCTCTCCTGTGTGTGCAATAAACAATAATACATGGCCATTAGGAATGTAGGGTCTAGATTCAGCCTGACTTGGGTAAGTCCTCCTGCCACAGTGTAGCTGTGTGGCCTTGTGCAAGGACTTAACCTTTCTGAGCCTTTGTAGTTTGCTTCTAAAAAGTCAGCTCAATGATTAGTAGTTTCAGGATTAAATGAAATATGTGTAAAGTGCTTTGCATAGTCCCTGACATATGGTGAGCCTTAAATAATTTTTATTGTCATTAATAATGTTGTTGATTTTACTATTAAATCCATTAACATACAAATAATTTTCTGCCCTGGGTCGTTGGTGTGCTGTATTTTCTTGGTATAAATGATTAGCCTTCATTCCTATCTTAGCTTCCCTCCATCATTGCTGTGATTTCACCACCTCTTTCACTCAGTTGTACCTGAATTTTTATTTGTATTTTTCATGATAAGGTCCAGAATTCTTCTCTGAAGAAAATTATTACCTCTGCTGGCCAAGGGCTTAGGAAATGGGAAGACGTTTCTCCTCTCATGGAATATCTTTTTTATCCCCATTTGATTTCCCTGTCACTTTATACACTTTTAAGAAAACCTAGCAGCACAACAGATTTTTTTTGTGTGTGTCAAAATACTGAGGAGTTGCCCTGATCGTGTTGATGGAATGTGTTAAGGCTCTAACATCACAGGGAGGCTTTCTGAGTGATCAATCATGTGTAGGTTGTTGTTCTGAGGTTTTAAACATTTCTCTTGCTCTTTCTTGGGGCTTCTCATTGACCAAGAAGAATGTCTCACCTTGGTTCACAAATACCAATGGTTTCCAGGGGTTTCTGGGCTGCTGGGGCAGAGGCCTGAATGGGCCTGCATTGCAGCAGTGAGAAAGAGGTTGCAAGAACTCGGGACTGGAAAGAAGAGGTTGAGTACGTGTGGAAAGATGCCTGGAGACCCTGTTTCTCAAGTAGCATTGGACTAACTTGATCAGTTTTCCCTAACAGCACAGGGCAGAAGTTGTTCTTGGCTTCATTTCATTAGCTGAGGCTCGGGTGTAGAGTTGTTCTGTAATCATCATTACCTGTTACTGCAAGATTTCTCTGTGTTTCCCATCTTTGCAATCGAAAGAACACTGCTATTTTGACTCTTAGTTTGGATCTGGGGGCTGTTGAGCATGTTGAGGAAAAGTGGCACTGCTCGTGGTTTGCTCACTGGGTTCTCTCTGTGCCACTGGCCGAGGCCTGGAGGACGGACATGGAGGATATGGGCTTCTTGCCCTCCCCATGGGAGGAAACGGAACGGAAGTTTAGAAACTGACTCTTATTGGATGTGGGACCTATAGCTTGGGACCCTTGAAGGCCAGTTAGAAAGGCAGAGCTCTGGTGGTGCCCTCAGAGCACTAGGCTTTGGCTCGTGGTGTCTCCCTGGTGTGTCTGGCACAGACCTGCTTTGGCTCGTGTTGTCTCCCTGGTGTGTCTGGCACAGACCTGCTCTGCCTCATGGCTGCAGGTGCATGAGGAAGATGAGGGTCGTGAGAAGGTTAGAGATACTTGGTAGTTATTGCCCTGTGTAGCTTTGCTTTGTCAGCATGTCAGATGCAGTTGATGGCAGATTGTTAAGATTTGTCACAGTCACACGTGCTGTTTTCCCATTCCTAAACGAACCAATCCTCCTAATCTTTCCTTTGCTTTAGCTAAAGTTAAAGCATGTCCTCTGCTGTGAGGGAGGAGGTGGCAAGTGTCAATGGTTTGAAACAGGAGCCTGAAAACTGGGTTTTGTTGTACACCTCCATGATCCAGAATCTCCAAGGCCCTCTATTCAGTCATGCTACCCCCAGCACCTCAGTTTTTCTAACTTGGAGGTTTAACTTGTCACAGCTGGTGCCTGCCCCTTTTGATGTAAGGTGATAGTTTCAGGGACTAGAGCAGCAGTTTTCCCTGACCTGTGTTTTGTGTTCTTTGGACAGGTTAGTAGAGCTGTGATTTCAGGTGAGGTACAGCTGGTCTGTGCCATCGCCAGCATCTGTTCCGGTTGGGCATGATGCAAAAGGGTCTGCTGGTTGCAGGTGGCTGAATTTGAGGTCAAATGTCACCCCCGGCCTGCATGGATCTTACAGCGGGAGGCAGAGCACTGGCCCGGACCAGGAGTTTTAGCTTCTAGTGCTGCCCGCCCTTCCCGTTCAGGACTTCCCAGCTTATACAGGGCTCTGGGTCTCCTTACGCTCTGCGAGTAGAACTTCTGAGGAAACAGCTTGCATTTATTTGTTTGTCCAGTAGAGGATGGATGTGCTTTGGGGGAATTCTGGGGATAAAGAAGTTACTTTTTTCTGAGAATATGACATTTTTTCTTGGCTATTAATGTTGCTTTTTTCTATGCTTTCTTTTCTTTCTCACTACTCTCATAGGTCCTGCCCCTTGAAAACAAAATGAAGGATCCCCGGAAATTTCCAGTCATCCTGTATGTGGGAATGGCCATCGTCACTGCCCTCTACATTAGCCTGGGGAGTCTGGGGTACCTGCAGTTTGGGGCTGATATCCAAGGCAGCATAACCCTCAACCTGCCCAACTGCTGGTACGTGAAGGGGGGTGGAAGCCCGGGAGCTCGGGGTGATTTTTTAAATCAATGGGTCACAATGTGGGTTCTTCCTCATGCCTGTCTCTGAAGTCAGCCCGCTTCGCTTTAGCCCACCGCTGCCCCCCCCCCATCCCACCCAGGCCAGCACCATTCCTCCTTGGCTGCCCACCAAGCCTTTCAAACCGTCTCCCTCCTGAGTCTTCCTCTTTCTCCAGACCTGTGCTCCTCCTTGTTACCCGTGGGAGCCACCAAATGCTCATCCAGTCATGCACCCCCTGCTGAGAACTCCACAGAGGCTCCTCTTGCTCTCCTGAATTTCCCCCTCGGGCCCTTCAGGCTCTAGCCCCACCCCCACCTAATTCCTACTCAGCCAGGAGGACTTGGTCTGGGAGCTGCTCTTTTGGAGGAACCTTCTCTGATGACTCACCGACTGCAACTTCAAGTCTAGGTCTGATGTCCCTTCTCTGTGCTCCCACAGGATACCAGTAGGATCCTATCCTAATTCTTATTCCAGTGTGTTGTAATTGTCCGTTTACCTGTACTGTGATCTCCCTACACTGTAAGCTCTGTGAGGGCAGCAACCATCTATTGTTCCATTTTTTATCCCAGCATCTGGTGCATGCTCATCACCCAGTGAATGAATGGTTTTTAAACAAAAAGGGGGAATAAACCCTGAGACTGAGGCATTTTCTAAATGAGGAAATGTTATCAGGAAGCAACTGGGGCATAGAGGTCAGAGGTGATCTGCCATCTCCTAGCTGTGTGACCTTGGACAAATCACAGCTTCTCGCTGCCTCAGTTGCCTCCTCTGGGAACCAGGAATAGTCATTTCTTTCTGCCAGGATTGTCATAAAGAACAAATAATATGTGTGAGAAAGAGCTTTATGATAGTATCCTGGTGCAATTTTATAAGTAGGATCCTGCCATGAGCTTTATTCTTCGTTTGGATGAGTAATTCCTATGGAGACTTATGCTGAATGGATTCGTTGATCAACCAACTAATAGACCATTTCTCCCTGGAAATCTGAACCCAGAATGGCCAAGTATCTAACCATTCCAAGTAGACGGGGAGAGAGGAGGCACATGTGCTTAGGGCCCAGCTTCTGCTGTGTCTCTCCTGTGCAGTCATTGACCTGCTGTGCAGGTGAGGGGTCTCCCACCTTGGACCATTGCTGGGAGCTTTTCTGCACCTCACTTTCCTTAACTCTCAGTTGCTGTATTGTAGGGAACACAGATATATTGAAATGCTTCCTAAAAAGATAGCTGTCACAGGGTGTGTCCTAAGCAACAACAATTCTGTTTTGAAGATTACAATTTCATTGTGGAGAACAGCTGTGAGTATGTAGACACTGAGGCGCTTGTTGAGTGCCCTGGGGACCAGAATAACCTTTCTGGTGGGCCTGGTTGATCTGCCTGTTTGTGTTTTTTAGAGCTCTAATCGGTGAGGCATTGTGCGAGGACAAATTGAGAAAATTGAGACAAATGTTTATTGAGTGGTGTCATCAGTGTTTCGCTGAGGCCCCCTACTCAGCAGAGGTCTGCGTCTGTTGTGTGGCCAGCCAAATGGTGGCCCTGAAATAGACCATTGTTTTCAGAAAGTCTTCCTTTCTCGTTCCCTCTGATGCCTGCTTTTAAATTTCCAAATGTTCCTGCCCTGTGGGGAGTCAGGTGGAAGCGCAGCATAACAAGATCAATGGGTCAGGAGCAGCAGAAGCAGCCCACAGATGAGCATCTGTCTCCTTCCCTCTGATGTGCCAAACCCAGCTATTCCCATATTTCTGCCTCCATTTGGGTGTGATTCACTTGGCCAACTCTGCAGGTGACTCTCCTGATTTCGGACTTCCCAGCATTCCAGAAAGCTTTGATGCTGCACTGAGTTTAATTATAGAGCCACCAGCTGATTTTTCCAGAGTTTTTATTATCTGTTCTTGGAGCAAGTAAGACCTTTTGTCAAACTCAGCCTCCCCCTGGATGTTCTCCTGCTTCAGAACGTTTTCCAGGGATTAAGTCCCACCACAGAGAAGTTCAGTGCACTTTGTACACCATATAACCACCATTTCTAAATAGATTTCCAGCAAGGGACGGTGGCCAGTGTTCCTCGCTGCCTAACGCATGAGGACCTCGTTTGATGTGGAGCTTTGCCTAGGGGCAGGGTGGCCTTCCCGTTAGTGATCGTGTCGGATCCACAAGTACTTATAAGGCTTGTTTCCTACTCAGCACAGTCCCAGGCGTGTGTGAAGATGGAGATGCCCATGGTGAGTTAACGATCCCCCTGAGAAGCTACACATGAAGCAGTGGTAGGAAGGTGGCTGTAGTGGAGTGAACAGATGGACTCTGCCTCTGCCTCTTGGTCCTGCATGGTCACCATCTGAGACTTGGGAGCTCTGAATTGGATGAGAAGGATGTAAATAAGCTTGTAAAATTTCATTAAATTTTTCATTGTTTTTATTTTTGAAAGGAAAATAGAGGTAAAGATTCCACGTGTTGAAAGGGTATACAGAAAATGTTACGTTTCCACTCGCCTCCCCTTGTCCCCAGTTCTGCATTTCAGAGGCAACCACATTAACCGGTTTCTTGTCTTTCCTTCAGGAGATGTTTAGTGTGTGTAAGACTGTCACATATATATGTGTATGTGAGGGGGAATACTTTTTCCCTTTTTTTCTTTTTTAGACAAATTGTAGCACACTATAGACAATGTACTGCTTCATGCTTTTTTCATTTGATAGTATATCATAAAGCTAGTTCTATGTCAGCACTTCGAGTTCTGCCTCACTCTTTTTAACTGCTGTATGGGGACACCATGGTTTATTTAACCAGGCCCCTACTGATTAACATTTAAACTCTTTTCAGCCTTTGTACTTAAATAATGCTGCAGTGACATACTTCGAATGTTTTTGTGCACATGTGCAAATATATCTGCAAGATAAATCACTAGACATGAAACTGCTGGATCCAAAGGACACATGTGTGTCTAACTTGGACAGATATGGCCAAATTGCAAGGGGACCATTTTGCACTCTCCCTGCTAGCGTGTGAGCGTGCGGAGCGGGCGTTTGAACATCTCTGGGCTCTCTCTGCAGGCTGTACCAGTCAGTGAAGCTGCTCTACTCCATCGGCATCTTCTTCACCTATGCCCTCCAGTTCTACGTCCCAGCCGAGATCCTCATCCCCTTCTTCGTGTCCCGCGTGCCTGAGCACTGGGGGCTGCTGGTGGACCTGTCCGTGCGAACCGTGCTGGTCTGCGTGACGTGTGAGTAGAACCCCAAAGAATTGCCGTGTTGGTTTTCTCCCAAAGGGCACCCAGTCCCTAGGGCTTCCAGGAGAGAGAGCTTGCGTTGTAGTGAAGTTGCCAGTGCTGGGTGAACAGGAAGCTTGGCACACTGTTCCAGAGTTGAGTCATGTCTAGATGGTGAGGCAAATCCATGATACACGTGCTCTATGGGACACGGCAATGGGAACCGTCATTTAGGTACCGATATGGTGTGAAATGCTACAGAGCTGTTTGAAAGTCATAGTCAAGACATATAATTATTATTCCATATAAACTATGGTAAAAGCCTAAAAGAGAGCCATTTACCCATATCTGCAGTGAATATAGGTTACTTTGATAGCGGGTGCATGTTAATTGGTTTTTTTCAAATAGTCATTTTTGTAGTGTGACAGTCTGTTCTTTAGATTTCATTTTGCATGATACTTTTCTAGACACTGTGGATGTTGGTCTACATAAATATGTTTCTGAGAAGTTTTTCTATTGGATAACTAGGGGTTTGATTTATCACTTTGTGTTTTATTCCTCTTCCCTGGACTGCACACCCAGGGGTGTGAATTAAGAGACAAGAATGCCTCCCTATTTACTGTTGGTTGAAACTGGTATACATTTAAAACATAAAATAAATACCTATTTTTCTCAGATGATGTGAGTTGATACAATAGAGACCCCCAAAGAATTTATCTATACTGTCTAATTTAAATTACTATGAGATTTATAAATGCTTTCCAAATTGAAATGTTTGAATCATATACTTCTCTTTTTGCTATATTTGGCTTTTTATTTTATTTTTAAAATTTTATTCTTTTGGAACAAGATGTCTTGCTTTTTATATTGAGACTTTCCCAGATATTTCTTTATTATTCATTCTGTCTTTAGACTACATATAGGTCTCTATGATTTTTTAATTGAACCAGAATTGAGTGTTTAGGGATGAAATATGTGAATGTTGTCTGGTTTTCATTCATAGTATGGAAAATCAGAAATGATTTTATTGGTTGACTGTTATACTAGCAAGAGAAGGGCAAGCAAGAGATTATCCATCCTTTTTAGCCACCCAAGCAAAATATAGGGAACAGACTCGTACCTATCCCAGAGTGGACTTTCTCAAGCTACCTGCAGCTTTTTTTTATGTTACTTCAAGAATAGTGGGTGGAAGCTTAGCATTCCTAGATATCTGTGTAGAAAAATGCACTGGAGCTATGGAACTAAAGGCCTTTTCCGGACTTTCGATTTAATCGTGGGCGGCACTCCTTCTGAGGATTTATTGCAGGGTGGTTCTGGGTAGGAGTTGGGCAGAGGGTGGACACCTTGATTTTTCCAACCCCAGAGAGCTGATGGCAACCAAGAACCTGACTTCTTGTAGCCTTTACTTGACAGACCTTCAGTCCTCTCCTAGTCCAGCCTGTAGAAACAGCCCACTTGGCAGGTAATCTAGTGGCCAGGGCTGCCTACAGGCCACTCCTGCCCCAGAGCTACTGCAAAGGAAGGAAGGTTATATCTTACTTTTCCAGTAAATTGCCTTAATATGTGCTGATAAGATGCTTGGACTCTAGATTTTACTCCTGTCTTCTGCCAGCCACTCTCGATGCTTCGATTCAGATATGTATGTTTCTTCTGTGGAGACAGATTCCATATGCAGGTGTTTATAATGTCCACTCTCAGGGCCCCAATTCTTGGATCCAGAGGGCGTTGGGAGAAAGGATGGGGATAGTTCACATAATTGGCTTTGTTTCAAAGTGGTTCCTCTGGAAAAACTAGGTCCATCCAGGCAAAATGTTTTCTCACTGCCTAGATGCAGCTTCTCCCTGCCTGAAGAGCTGGGGCTGTGATGCTGGGCCTGGTTCCTCTCACAGCCCCATTTCCTTCTCAGGACTGGCTTTAGCCTCCGGGAGCATATGTCTTGCTTCCTGCCAGGTTTCTTTCCGCTGCACCCTGCAGGAGCCACCAGTCTCTGATTCACAGACCTCATGTTGTCCTTAGATGCCTCCTGGTTTTTGCTTCACTTTTTCTGGCTCTGTCTGCTCCCTTTTTTCTGGCTCCCTTCTATAGCATGATGCTCAAAGGATTCGAGCTGCTTTTGAACTTCAAGTGCATTCAATTGTTTTCCCTTCTCCTGTGATCTCTTGTGACTTAGCATTGCATTGCCATCCTATTAAAAGATGCAACCCCTTCATCTCTGAGTGCTCTGGCTTCTCTAACCTTCCCAGGAGACTTGGAAGTAATTATGGAAAAGGCATTTCACTGTAACACCACCTTAAATGTATTTATGTGAGTTCATTTTATCTTTCTTTGTACTTTCAGATCTTTTTACCCAAGGTTAATTGGTATATGATTTTAGAGCTTTGATATAAGATTGTTTTCAGTTATACCCATAAATTTTATTGGCAGCTTGTTTTATTGTTATTTCTGGTGTTTTCTTGTTTTTTTCCCCCCAACTTTTCTCACCCTTTCATCCCCAAGGGGAGCGGGACAGTTTTGTTCAGCCTCTTTTTTTTTCCTTTTTTCACTTGGAATTCAACTTTCTCACCACTCTCCCCTATCCCTCAATGATTGCTGTGTCTGCTTTTTGATGCTTAATTTCAGACTACTCGGGAGGAGTGGCAGGGAAAACACACATGTCAGACAGTGGTGCTCATTTTGTTATGATTTCATACGGGACAGTAGTCACTTCCAGCCCATATGCTTATAAATGCTGGTCACCTTATGCCCAGAGCTTGTGTAGGAGAGGCTGGCTCTACCTGGGAAGTCCAGAGGTGCAGGAAGAATAGCTCCTTTGGATTCCATGAGGCACTAATCTGTGCTTCAGTGGTTGGTACTAATTCTCTGTGGTATTTACCATGTGAAACATTTCATTTCAGGTAGGAATGAGAATTTCAGAAACCTATTGTTGAAGATGTAATAACATAGAACCACATCAACTAAGATCTGTTTAGACTGGAATGCATAGCTATAGATCATTCCCAGCAGCCAGACCCTTTAGAGCACGAAGCTTCCAGGCCCAAACACAGTGGCTTCTCAGCACCTTTTGGTCTTTCATACACACTTCTCGGTCTTGCAGCTGCAACGAAGACGGGCAGCAGCATAAATTAGCTGTGCCTGTGTCCTGTGCTCACCCCCATCTCAAATCATCACGAGGCCTGATTTTCCTCAACTGTAAGATATGAAGGGTATCTGATTGCTAAGGTTTCTCTCATGTCTAAAATTCTGTGATTCTGGTCAACTACTTTGAGCCTGATTTTAAATTTCAACTAAAATATTGCTCAGAAAAATAAAGTTAATATAAACACATTTGAAGAATATCTAGATCTGAGGTTATTGAAGATGAAATTCCCAATATCCCACTAACTTAACAAAATAATTTCTTTTGCATTTTATCTTCTGTGTTAATCCTCATGGGTGCATATAAAAAATAGTTGCAATCATAATATACATATAACTTTGTCTTCATATTTTATTTAATATTATATCATGAATATGCATATCCTTCATAAATATGTTCATGACTGCATGATATTTCATTATTTTGCTGCATCATATTAATTTAAATACCCCTTTATTGTTGGACAAGTAGGTTGTTTCCCTTGCTTTTCTATTTTATTTATACCCCTACTAGATGAAATTATATATCCTAAGGCTATAATTAATTTTAAAGATAGATTTCTAGACATTTAAGAGTAACACGGATGGGCTTCCCTAGCATTGATCATAATAAAATAGCAGAAAGAAGTTCCGGACACAGGAGCTGTAAGTGTCCAATTGGTGTATGATTTTGGATCATATTTCTGTGTGTGTTGGTTCTCTTAAGTGCTTTCTCTTCTCTTGTGCATTAGTCAGCTTTCTGTTGCTGGTCTAAAACCACAGACTCCAGAATCCCGATTAGTTCCTTCTCTGAACATGGCCGTTGGCCTCACGTTGCTTCAGCCGTTAAAAGATCATATTTGTAGTCTCCTAACCCAAAGGGAAGATGTTTTGTAATACCATTGGAGCCCTGTTGACTAATCATGTGGTCCAGTTGAGTAGTCCTCAGTCCCCCCTTTCTATACATGCCACAGCTCAGCTGCTGCAGAGGGCTGTGGAACTGCCCGTTGGGAGTCTGAATACCCCTTTGTATGGGGTATTCATTTGTGGGGGAGCGTGCGGAGAGGATATTCCTAGTTGGCTGTTTCCTGAGATCTCTACCTTCTTGAGTTTCTCTTTCTAGAGGGTTCTAACTCATAGAGTAAAGACACTTAAAGGTTTTAGTTGCTCCCATATCTTTCCTAAGTACCTGATTCCTGCCTCTGGAATTAGTTAAAACTAATTTGCCATATTTTGCATGGTGGCAAAACAGATATCCCCACTGTTGAGCCCTTGGGGCTCTTTATGCTAATTTGGTTTGGTTCCCCTTCTCTTTCTCTTTCCCCACCATATTTGTGGGAAGCTCACTCTTCTTGCCCTCTCCCCTCATTATCTATCTCCAATGTCAGGCTTTATTTAGGGTTCAGTTGTTCTATGTGGTCCATCTAGGACAGGAAGATGGTCTTCCCTTTGCAACCCTGTGGTCCTGGCTTTAAGAGAAAAGTTTTGCCCCCTTTAAAAATCTATTAAGGATATTTTTGTTAAGCATACGTATCTTGTATATCCTTTGTTGTAAAAACAAGAACAAGTTTTTAGATTGCTTTTATTTTTTTTATTTACTTTTATTTTTTTAAAAGATTTTATTGGGGAATTGGGGGAGGGGAACAGTGCTGGGGAATCGGGGGAAGGGGAACAGACAAGTTGCTGTCCTTTTGTTCTTCAGTCTAGTTGTGGAGGACGTTGCTTCACTGGCCCATGTTGGTATTATCATTGCGCTCTTCCCAGGTGAGGCAAATCAGTTGCCGGCCTCTGGACGGCTGCTCACGGTGGCTCTTGACAGCTCACACCAGGTGCCGGCTGCTTACGCTGGCTGTCAGCCATACATGGTAGCTTATGGCAGCCCATTGCAGCAGGGGCTGCAGCCTATGCCGTCGCCGGCGACTCACGGCAGCCCAGCTCCAGGTCGAACTGTTGTTCGCCATCTTAGCTGTAGAGGGCACAGTGTCACTGGCCCTCATGTGGGATCTGAACTGGGGTCCTGCTGCTCAGAGCTGGCGTCCCAAGCGAACTCTTAACCAGCGCGCCACTCGGCCGGCCCTAGGTTGCTTTTAAAACATCATGATGGAGTAGAACATCTCTCTCCAATCTGAGAAAAGATTCTGATTGCACAAGCTTCTGTTCCACTTAATTCTTATCACAAAGTGCATGGAGCACATCGGACTTCACTTAACTCATATCATGAATGCCCATCTGTCCTCCAGGTTAATATGAGAGATGGAGAGGGGATGACAGACCCTTGGAGCTGGGAAGGGCCAGGCAGGTCGTCTGACTTGTCTCTTCCTGGGGCTCACTGTCTCTGATAAGGGCCTCCCTTCTCTTGAGCCAGCTGGAGCATCTGTAGAGACCAGGGGCTGGCACCGGAGGAATAACTCACACTCCCTCTAATGGTACAAAACCAGGTGCACTATAAGCCACGTTTTTGGCACAAATGTGTTGGAGAAGAAGAGTCCCATTGCTCCACTGTGCCACTCTTGAGCAGCACGCAGTGCTTCCTAGTTGACTGTGAGTTGAGGGACATATCCCAGAACACATTCCTAAGTGACTAAATCTGAACTGTACAGTTCCTCTAAATTTCAGAATTGGGTGAGCCTTCAGCAGTCATCCATTATTAGTACAATCACCTTATTTCATGGGTAAACACACTGAGACTCAGAATGGTGAGCTGATTTGCCCTGTGTCACAAGCCTACTGAGCAGGAGCTGGTAATTATATTAGCTAACATTTATGAAGCATTTATTGTGTGCTTCATCTTCTAAGTTCTTTACATGAATGATCTCATTTGACTATCCCTATTTAGCAGTAGGGGAAATGAGTCTTAAAGAGGTTAAGTGACTGGCTGGTTAGTGGTAGATGTGGGATTGGAGCCTAGGTTCTGAGTCCAGAGCCTGTACTGTCGACCACATTCCTGTACCAGCCTCTCCCTGGGCTCAGGTCTAATTGCTGCATCATGGCTGTTTCCACCCCACTACTCACCCAAATTGGAACTTCTGAAGTCATCACTATGAGGTTGACATTGGGCAGATGGAGACCCAGACCCCAGAGAGGGTAAGTGTCTTATTCCAGGTGACACAGGAGATCAACTCTTGTTGAGCATCAGGTTATCCATGATGAGAACGCCATTTGTTCATCAACCTACAAACACCTTACCTCCAACTTTCCTCTAAATTCAGCCCTGAAGGTTTGAGGAATGTCACCAACTCTTTATCTGGAAATAGCAAAGGGCCAAAACAGGCTATTTTTAACTTGCTGAGAAAGTTAAAAGCCTACACTTTTTGTAGACTTTCTGAAGGTGTTTTTGGGTAATTGCCATTGTTGTTGATTACTGGAAGAAGGAAAGGACAGGATTGCCCCAGGGCTATGAAATGATGGTAGGGGCAGACCTGAGACACAGTAGTCCTGTACTCCCTTTTGTCATCAGGCTTTAAAAACCCTCCTCTGATTTCCTTTGCCAAGTGGAGAGAGGTCTGGGCTGAATGTTTACTGGATTCTCTGCTAAACCATTGTGGTGCCTTCCTGGGAAAGCTAACCTGACAGATACCTGACTTCCTCAGTTCTTCATAGAGAGAATCTTCTGCTGATCAGCCAGATCCACTATCTGTATTTTCTTACTCATTAGGTCTGTGATGTGACTGTATCAGGGGCTTGATGTCCTGCATCCTAGTCCCAGCTGTGTCACTTTCTATCATGTAACCTCTTTGGGCCTCCTTCCACAAGGACAGTAATAGTGTTGCGGAGTTATATACCTGGGGAGCCGAGACAAATTTGATTCAGTGAGGAGATGTTTTGCCATGCTGTCTACTAGACACGCTGTTCTGCTGTGATGGAAGTGTGCCTGGTCTGTGCTTCCAGGACAGTAGCCACTAGGCACGGGTGGTGCTGAGTCCTTGCAATGTGGCAGTGTGAAGGAGGAACTGAATGCATTTAAATTCAAAACAGCTAGTGACTACGGGTATGGGAGTATGAGATGGAAGCTGTGAATCTGCGCCTCCCCTGGTAAATCTCGGTTCCCACAGGCCTCTCCCCTTACTTCAGGGAGTGATATCCCAGTTTAAAGGTAAGTGTTTCTCATAAAACCTGGCCTCTAAATGCAACCCAATCTTTTCGCCTGGTGCTCAGCCAAAGAGGCAGCGATTGATCTATTCGGATAGTCCATCTGAAGGGTAAAGTTGGCCGCATTGGACTGAGATGTTCTGGCGATCTCACCAGTGCGGTGCCTTCCTCAGGACGCTTTGACTACATTTTTGTTTTATGAAGTTTGAACTGAAACCCCTATGGCAGATGTAACTCCCTCACAGGGCTCAGAGAGAGAATAGACGTGCGCTGGATCGCTGCCTCAATGCTGAGGACCTCCAGGTGGAGGCTGGCAGCGGGGAAGACAATCGATCAGAATACGCTGATTACTAATGATCTAATGATGCCCTTTTCATAGCAGCAAAATGTACATTAGTGATGATAATATGGACTGTATTATGTGCCTATAGTACATTACACCTGGCCTTTTGTTATGTGCCCGCGTATCCTCTTTTTGATCATTGTGACACAGGAGCTATTAGTTTCCCCATTTTGCCAACAAGAAAGCTGGGGAGTCGAAAGGAGCCATAACTTCCCCAGTGTCATTTGGGCAGAACCAGGACTCAAACACAAGAGCCTAATTCCAGAACCCATAATCCTCAGTCAGTTTGTGAAGCATTGGCCTTCATCCCCAGCAGAAAGCTGAGTTAGATGGGAATAGTGGGATCAGTGGGCACTGGATCAGCCTCCTCCTTGTGATTTTAAACAACACTGTCTGACCAGCTGGGTATGGTATGGAAGCCAGTGGCATTTTCTAATGCAGCCCCCATTTACCTTGGTCAGTTTCCCCTTCCGCACATAAACCCGTGGCTAAGTGCCAGGGGTGGGAGCCACTCACTAGCTTGTCCTGGCAGAGGGACATCGTTGCTGTGTGGGGCCTTGCTCCTGAGGTCAGCCTGTGCACAGAACTACTTCTATGTTCCCTGTATGAAAATGCCCTGGGAAATGGGGTTCATCATGTTATTCCAGAAGGATGAGGGTGTTTTCCCCTATTGTGTTTCTTGTCAATCAAGTAGAGCTGTTCGTGTTGGAGGTGGCCTCAGTGGGGAGAAAGTGAGTGGTCTCTCGGAAAACGGCGCATCTCCTTTTCTGCTCCACACCCTCTCTCCTTTGGTAGGGGCCAGATTGCCCTGGAATGTCCTTTGGTTCCTTTTCCCTGGGAAGGTGGGCGTCATGTACTGTAGTAGGAAAAGCTCAAAGTGAGATGACTGGAGCCAGGAGATCTGGGTTCCCCCCCAGTTCTGCCAAACTTGCAGTGAGACCCAGGTTACTCTACCTCTCAGAGCATCTTTTTTCTCACCTGTGGAATGAGAGATTGGGCTGGATAAATGTCGAAGTTGCCTTAGAGCTCTCCATTCCATGAGAAGGACTTGCTATATTTGCAGAACAGTGAGCCGGTCCCTTCCAGTTCTGGGCAGTCCTGAACATCCATGTCCTCTCTCCCGCAGGCGTCTTGGCCATCCTCATCCCCCGCCTGGACCTGGTCATCTCCCTGGTGGGCTCCGTGAGCAGCAGTGCCCTGGCCCTCATCATCCCGCCCCTCCTGGAGATCACCACCTACTACTCGGAGGGCATGCGCCCCCTCACCATCGCCAAGGACGCCCTGATCAGCATCCTGGGCTTCGTGGGCTTTGTGGTGGGGACGTATGTGGCTATCTCTGAGCTGATCCAGCCAAGCAATGCTCCCATTTTCATCAACTCCACCAGTGAGCTTGCATAGCCGTCTGGGTGCAATCCTGCACCTTCATACCCAACCCCTGTGTGTTCCTTAGCACCTGGCCCCACAGCTTCAGGGAGGGTCCAGGCTCTGAGGGAAAGCAAGGCTGCTATCTGGGAACCCCTCTACCTGGCACCTAGGTATCCTGGGCCAGGTAGGACTGAGGGCAGGGGGAGAGTGGGTGCAGATACGCAGGAGGTACTTTTAGTGGTAGTACTGTCATTGTTCATTTGTACTTATTTTAACCCAGAACTTTTTAACTCTTTTCCCTCAATCATGCCTCTTTCATTACCTGCCTCCCTACTTCTGACCCACCTCCCCCAAATTATTCCTGTTGCACAACTCACTTTATTTAAAGATTTTAGCGTCTCCCACGTCATGTTTTCTCTTTTCCTGGTCCAGGCCTAGATTAAGTAAGTGGGAACTCCCCCTCTTTATAAAGCCGGGCCTATCTCTTTCTCATATCTCTCCCAAATATTTTACCTCAATATTCTCCTACCTATTTAAGCCTCCAGCAGGTGTCTGGATCTACCTAGTAGTTTAAAACCAGCCCCAGAGCTGGAGTTTTTAACCTTGACGCTCTGGCTTGCTGTGACCCTCGGCAACATCTCCTTTCCAGATTCCTCGTGTGGGTCACAATACTGTATTCTTAGTTGCTTTAGCTCCTGAAAGATATCAAGTGTTGCCTCAATTGAAAATATTTATAATTTATTTAAAATTAGCTTGTGTTTTTAGATTTTTCTCTAGATCTGGGGTTGTTGTGAATTGTTCCTTCCTTAGTCAACTTGTATTTAGCTTCTCCCGCTGAAAGAAACTTGCTCCAGAAAATGTCTGCTTAGGGCCTCAGCCCTCCTGGCTGAGTACCCCAAAGATTTTAATCAGGGTCATGTAAGTGTGTCCCTCTGTGGGGAGGCATGGACTTTGCCTCCCATCGACCAGCCTGATTTCATATTGAGAGGATATGAAGGATTCAGGAAGTATTTGCCAGTGCACTAGGCTGGGGAAAGGATGGCCAAGTGTGGGAGTTTCCACCTACTGGGGGCTTATAAGATGGTTGCTTTGTGCATTCAGACCTGTTTGCCAGCCTCAGCCCCTGACATGCAAACAGCATGACAGCATTCAGTTGCTGTCATGCCAGGAAGATGCCCACACTGTTGCCATGGATGAGACGATCAGGTCAGCATGCACAGAGTGCAAAATTAAGTTAAGAGAATTTATAGCAGCTGGTCTGACACTAAGTATGGTGCTTGGTTGTTTACAATCAGCAGGGGATAGGGCTGAAACAGGGCCCTGTCCCACCTGCCTCCATGACCTCCAGGACTCTAAAGGAACCACTTGGTTGAGATTTCAGTCCCTTGTGTTTTAAACACTAATTGTGACACCCCCCCCCCCTCCCGGCCCCAGATGCCTCCCTGAGTGTCAGAAATAGCTTCAGGGTTAGCTCACCTCAGGCTCAGCCTTCAGATTTGGGAACGAACTGCAGAGAAGGCAGAGGAAGGCACATTGCTTTTGGCTTCCACTTCTTCCCTCGGTGTGAGAAGTATTTCAGAAGGGCATTCATTAACTGTCCGTCTCGAGCTGTATGTGTGTGTGTGTTCATACATATGGAGTAGGGCCCTACTGTTCTCCACTCCTTCACTAGGCTCTTGCTTACCTGGCACTATGATTCACCCCAAAAGTTGGGAGAGCAGCACAGCTTTATCAGGGGTTTTGCTTTTGTCTTACCAAAGCTCGTAAGGGCTAGGAGCCACCTCTGCAGCCCCAGCTTTTTCTTCCTTTTCTGTTCCAAAGCCAAACTCTCTCACTGCAGGGACTCCTAAGCTACCTAACAATTTATTAACTTAGGAAGATGTGATCAGTGGTGACTTGGTCTCCCTTAGGAGGATGACACTTTTCACCCATGCTTTCTGCTCTTTGGTGGTCACTAAGAGGTGCTTATATGACCATGATTCTAGATGGAGGTGGCATTGGCCCTACCCTCCGAAGCCTCAGGCTTAGAAGTTACCAAAGTGGGTTCAGGAACTGTCATCTGTTGTTTGCAAGCCTGGGCTCCAGCAGTCTTTCCACAGTGGTCCTGAGAGTTGTGTGCAGTGGGAAGGCGCATGCCAGTAGAAGGGGATCAGACATGTGTCCTGCCCGCAGCTTCTGTGGTGGAGGCTCCTGTGCATGCAGGGAGCTACTAGAAGTACTGTCCGGGCGGGCAGTGACACTGGGGCTGTGATGCTGGGACCTGAGGGCTGGACAGCACAGTACTGATGTCCTCTGGCCACAGGTCTCAGCAAACCACAGGCTATTGCGTCAGGGTCCCTGGCCTGGAGAATGTGGTATGCAGGACAGACGGCTTGAGCTCTGGGGCTTTTGGCAGCTAATTTGACGTGACCTTCACCCTGTTTGATCTCTTTCCTGTGCTCCTGCACTTTGATAGCCTGAGCTCATGGCTGCTTCAGAAGACCCAGACAAGGAAGACCCAGGCAGTGGGCCTTCCTGGATGTGCAAGTGCACTGCAGTTAGGCGTTGAATGAAGGGTTAGCTAGAGGATGGTAGAGAGAGGAAGCCCTTCCTCCTCTTCTGGAAGCAGCCCTCTGGGCCAGCTCAGGGAAGCTCCCTCTTCTGCTGCCCACGGGCCCTGCAATCAGGGAGTCTCCCTGGCTTCTTCCCATCACTCGTCAGGAGCCAGCTGCCCAGCCTCTCCCTGTGTGCTGCTCTGGCCCCTGCTGAAAAAGCCCCAGTATAAGTAGGAACCTGATCAAGAGAAAAGGCTTTCCGGCGTGTGAGGCTGCATCTGCCAAACCAAAGGCAAACCGTGGTTTTTCTGGCCCAGTACTGTTAGGCTCTGTGTCCCTCCTCCAGTCTCCCTAATGCAGCCCCAGATTTCCATTAGCTCAGAAGGAGCTGCTCAGAGCCCGTGTTCTCTTTGGCACATGCTGCTGTTGGGAGCAGGTTTCCAACTCCCTGTCGGCAGCATACCTCCCCTTAAATACAGGTGCTTGCTGGGAAGAGCATTACCTGGCATCTTCTGTTCAGTTTGCCTAGAAGTTGTCACCATTCACAAGTGGCATTATTTATATTGTGCTGCTGTCCAGCTGCTAGGAGCCCTTCATCTGCACAAACCCTGGCCAATATATGTGTGGCAGGTCTTAGCTTAGAGCTTGCAGCTTATGCCCTCCCTCTCTGTCACTCAACCGCCCCCTCCCCACCCCGCCCCAGCCAAATTCATTGGCTGATGCTCACTACTCACTCTCCGCCCTCATGAAAAGTAAAATTTGCCATTTCAGCAATTGTATTAAAGTGATGATCCCAAACACGTGTTAGAAAAATCTCCCCTACCTCCCTGTTCTCCTGTTATTTTTTTCTCCTCCAGTTTCTCCCTTCTGAGATTGTAGAATATCATCTCTGTTTAACACTACATGTTTGCCTCATGTTTGTTGGAAGTGCAAAAATCTCCATTTATGTCTGTTTACAGATTTCTCTATTCATTACTCAAGCAAGGGGGTCTGTATCCGTGTATCAGTCTGTATCATAGCCGATCAGTTGTTAGGGTGGGCCCCAGCATCGCTCCTGGACCGAACACGAAGCTGCTTCTCACAGTGGAGACACAAAGTACAAGTGGCACGACTTAGTGATTAGGGAGTCGGCTCCAAGTCTGCCTTAGAATTCAATTTTCCAAAGTACATTACAAATCTCTGAGACCGTTAGGAGAAAAGGAGACGATGTGGTTGGTCTTTGAAATCATAGTCGGTCGATACTTTTAGGCAATTAATCCTGCTGGTTGCAAGGCTGTTTGCTCTGCAGCATCAGCCTGTTGCATTTCTTCCCTGTCCTTGGTATCACTGGGTCATTCCCTGGCCAGGGGACTTAAATGGTGCTGATAATGAGGTTGCCAGAGTGGGGAGGGGGAGTGGGAAATGAGGGTGGAGGGTGCCTGTCACGAGCCATGTTTGTTGTTTTGTTTAAATCAAGGTGGTGCTGGGGAAGCGATTTTGTTTTAGTGAAGGATAAAATTATGTGACTCTCTTGTAAAATGTGTCAGTGGATGCGTGAGTAAGAGGAATATGGAAAAATCCCGTCCAGCAGGTCTTGGTAACCAGACAGTACTGTGTATGTTGTGTGCCTCTAAGAATGTATATCCGCACATGGCGTGTGTCGAGATGTGGATCATGCCGGAGCTCACAGAAGATCTTGTTTTGGGTTCTGCACACAGATCATGTGTTAAACTTTTTCTTTTCAATAAATGAATTTTATTTTTTATTTTTGAAGGTTGTGGTCTGTGTCTTTGTCGTCCCCCCCCCCTTTTTTTTTTAATGTCACTTAGATCCATTTTCTTGTTCTTAGGTCAAAATGTTTCTAGTTTATGTCACGGAACTCATCGGGGGCGTAGTATGAACAATAGAACCATCTATGGAATTGAGAGTTCCCGAGAAAGGGGCAGGTAGTGATTTTTCTGTTAGACGATCTTGCCCTTCCTGACTCTCCTGCTTCTCTTGAATACTTGAGTAGGAATTCTTAACTCCCTCTGTGCATATCAGATGACCACACATAACAGGGGTGGTGGTTGGTTTTATGTGTCAACGTGGCTAGGCAATAGTATTGAATAACCTAGCATTCAATTAAATACTAACCTAGGTGTTGCTGTGAAGGTATTTTGTAGATGTGGTTAAAGTCTGCAATCAGTTGCCTCAAAATGTGGGTGGGCGTCATCCAATGAATTGAAGGGCCTTAAGAGCAAAACAGGTTTCCCTGAGGAAGGAGAAATTCTGCCTCAAGACTGCAGCATCAGCTCCTGCCCAAGAGTTTCCAGACTGCCAGCCCACCCTATGAATTGTTGACTTGCCAGCCCCCACAGTCACATAAGCCAATTCCTTGAAATCCCTCTGTCTTTCTCTATATTGTGTGTATTTATATATGGATGGATGGATGGATAGCTCCATCTTACTGGTTCTGTTTACCTGAAGAACCCTGACTGATAAGAGAGGTAACAATTTCTTGAAGTGGGAAGATTGGTTTCAGGACAGTGGAAGAGCTGACGCCCCTTTCCTTTTTGTCACAGTTAAGAGGAAAAACAAAAGGGTCTGGTGGACCTTTAGATGATTTGAAAACGAATCTTTGTTGGCTACTGAATTACACTTGTTTAAAAGCAGGGCATTTGAGGAACGCTATTAAAATATAACACTTTACTAAGAGAGGAAGGTAGGGAGTATATCAATATTACTACCGGAAATGGAGGGGTCAGAGGGATTCAGTGATTGTCCCAAGTCACCAGTGAGTGGCAGAGCTGGGATGTACACGCCAGCCCTGTGACTCCAGATCCCCCACGCTTCCCAAGGCCCTGGCTGCCTCCCCTCTTTGTTTCAGCCTCAGGAGGGAGATCACCTTCAGGGATTGTGAGGAAGAGAATGTTCTAAAGTGTCTTGCATGAAGGGCTTATGAAACATTTTCTGAACTATTAGCTGAGTTGAAGAAAACCAAGACTCAGAATCAGTTTTATTTTTTGGTTATTCATTCATTGTAATCGTGTCTTGCTCACCTCCTTTTTGCAGAGCATTCAACCCTTTTTAAATTGTTCACCTCTTCACATTTTTATTTCCGTCCATACTTAACTGGCTGTCATCTCTCCTTCCAGGTAACTAGGGGGTACCCAGGGCCCTCAAGGTAAGCCCACTGTATTGCTGGAGACAAACTCGAGTGACAGTGGACTGGGTTTGGACCCTACACCTGGGTCTTCACTAGGTAGGCTGGGTTCCTGAGATGCACCCCGTGCGGATGTGTGCTAAGAAACTGTGTCTTTAATCACTGTGCTTTGCTAGGCCCTTAGCCATTGATTGGCCTTCCTCCACTTTTTTTTTTTTTTAATTAGGGTATAATCTACTGGTAGTAAAATTTACCTGTTTTTTTTAAGTGTAGAGTTTGATGAGTTCTGACAAATGAATGCCGTTCTTTGACCACCACTTCAAAAAAGATACAGAATGGTTTTTTTTTTACTCCAAAAGTTCCCTAGTGCCCTTTGCAATCAATCCCATCCCCACGCCCCTTGGCCCTTAGCAACAACTGATCTGATTTTTCTGTCTTTAGTTTTGTCTTTTCTAGATTGTCATATAAATGAAACCATTAAGTGTATAGTACTTTGCATCTGTTTCTTTCACTTAGCATAATGCTTTTTTAATTCATCCATGTTGTACGTGTATCAGTAGTTTGTTTCTTCTTATTGCTGAATAATATTCCATTGTATGGATGAACCATAATTTACTTGTATTTATTTAGCAGTTGATTGATGTTTGGGTTGCTTCCAGCTTTTGGCTGTTATGAATAAAGCTGCCATAAATATTCATGTACAGATCTTCGTGTAAACATGTTTGTTTGTTTTTTAATTTTTTTATTGTGAAATACACATTTTTTAAAAATTAGTTTCAGCTGTACAACACAGTGCAATAGTTATACTTTTTAACTCTCAAAGTGACAACCCCTCTCCCCTAATCCGCCACCCCACTTCACCCCCATATGATACATATCTATTACAATTCCCTTGACTCCACTCTCACACTATACTCCATGTCCCGTGACTATATATATATATACACTCACTTGTAGTTGACATACAATATTATACAATATCAGCTTCAGGTGTACAGTGCAGTGATCAAGCCTCTACCCCATCCATGAAGCGGTCTCCCTAACAAGACATGTGACCATCTGACACCCTACAAAATATTTATAACATTATCAATTATATTCCCTGAACTGTCTTTCATGTCCCTGTGGCAATATTGTAGTTACCTATTTATGGTGTCTAATCCCTTCCCCTTCTTCCTCAACTAGCAACCATCAGTTTTTCCTCTATATCTCTGAGACTATTTCTGTTTACTTTGCTTATTCATTCAGTTTTTTAGATTCCACATATCAGTGAGATCATATGGTATTTGTCTTTCTCCGACTGACTTATTTCACTTAACATAATAGTCTCTAGGTCCATCCATATCATTGCAAATGGTACAATTTCATNGGGCATTTCGGTTGTTTCCAAGTCTTGGCTATTGTAAATAGCACTGCAGTAAACATAGGGGTGCATATACTTTTTTGAATTAGCGTCTTGAGTTTCTCTGGATAGATACCCAAGTAAACACATGTTTTTATTTCTCTTGGGTAAATACCTAGGAGTGGAATTATGGGGTTGTATGGTAAGTATACATATGCTAACTTTATAAGAAATTGGAAAACTATAAATTTCTCAAGTGGCTGTGCTATTTTGGATTCCTACCAACAATTTTTAAAAGTTCCTCCATATTCTCACTAATACTTCATATTGTGGTCTTTTTTATTTTAGCCATCTTAATGGGTGTGTAGTGGTACCTCACCTGTGGTTTTAATTTGCATTTGCCTAATGACTAATGACGTTCTGCATCTTCTCCTGGGCTTATTTGCCATTGGTCTATCTTCTTTAGTGAAGTATTTATTCAAATACTTTTCTTCATTTAAAATTTAGTTTGTAAAAAAGTTTTTTAAGCCTTTTATTTTGGAGTAATTATAGGTTCACAGCAAGGTGCAAAGAAACGTATAGGAAGATCCAGTGTACCCTTCTCTAAGTCACCCCCGGTGTTGATATCTTGCATAACTATAGTACATTATCAAAACCAGGAAATTGACATTGGCACAACCCGTAGAGCATCTTCAAATTTCTCCAGTTACATATGTGCTCATTTGTGTGTGTGCATGTACAAGTGTATGTAGCTCTAAGCAATTTATCACATGTAGTTTCCTCCACTACAATCAAGATGCTTAATCATCACCATAAGACCCCTTCATACTACCTTGTTATAGACACACTCATCCCCTGCACCCTCCCACATCCCTAAATCCTGGCAACCACAAATTTATTACTCATCTCTGTTACATTATTTCACAAATGTTATATGTATAAATTGAATTATGTTGTGTGTATCCTTTTGATTGACTTCTTTCACTCAGTATAATTTTCTTGAGAATCAGCCAAATGTTGCTTGTCTCAATTGTTCTTTTCCATTGCTGGGTCATAATTCCATGATATGGATGTACCACAGTTTGTTTAACCAGTCACCATTGAAAGAAATTTGCATAGTTTCCAAGGCTAGCTATTACAGATAAAGCTGCTGTGAATATTCATGTCCAAATTTCTGTATGAAAACAAAGTTTTATTTGTCTGGGATATATACCCAAGGGTGTGATTGCTGAGTTGTATGGTAAGCTCATTCTTAAGTTTAGAAGGAACTTCCAAACCATTTTCCAGAGTGGCTGTACCATTTTGCATTTCCACCAGCAATGTGTGAATGATCAGTTTCTCTACATCCTCATCAGAATTTGGTGTTGTCATTATTTTTTATTTTAGCCATTTATTGGATCTTATAAATGTTTTGCTAGCTTTATACCTAAGTATTGTATTTTCTTTGGAGCAATTGTAAATGGTAATGTGTTATTAATTTCAGCTTCCACATTTTAATTGGTAGTATATAGAATTTGGTTTTTGAGTGTTAATGTTGTATCTTGTAACTCTTCTGCGCTCAATAATAGCTCTGTGAATTTTTTATTAGAGTTTTTGGGATTTTCTATGTAAACAGTCATGTTGTCTGCAAATAGAAATAGCTGTATTTCTTCTTTTCCAATCTGTATACTTTTTTTTTTTGCCTTATTGCAATGACTAGAACTTCTAGTACCATATTAAAAAAGAGTGGTTACAGTGAACATTCTGTTTTTGTCCTTGATCTTACAGGGAAAGCATTTAATCTTTCATCTGTAAGTTTGATGTAAGCTGTAGGATTTTTATCAGCGTTCCCCTCAATTCCTGTGCTAAGAGTTTTGTTTTTTTTTTTAATCATGAATGGGTGTTGAATTTTGTCAAATGTTTTTTCTGCATCAATTAATAAGATCATACAATTTTTCCTTCTTCACCTGTTGATATGGTAGGCTACATGGATTGATTTTTGGATATTGAACCAGCCTAACTTACCTGGAATAAATCCTGCTTGATAATGGGATATAATTATTTTTATATATTGTTGGATTGTCTTTTATTGTTATTCATCCTGATACTTAACTCTAATAAATGTAGAGTCCAGAATGGTACCTTTTTATGAACAAGCAAAACCATCTGCCATAACTGCTATTCTTGGTGTAAGTGTACTTTTGCCTCAGGCCAGGTTTCCAGCTGCTATGGTGCTACATAAAGACAGAGTTTCCCAACCATGGTATTATGGACATTTTAGGCTGTATAATTCTTTGTTTTGGGAGCTGTCCTGTGCACTGTAGGATGTTTAGCCACATCCCTGGCCTCTACCCACTAGATGCCAGTTGCACCCTGCCAGTTGTGGTAACCAAAATGTCTCCAGATATTGCCAAAGGTCCCTTTGGGGGGGGGGGATGGGACTGGGGGTGGGAGTGGAAATCGCCCCCCACTCCCATTGAGAGCCACTGCCCTGCGTATCCCTAGCTGAGCATATGTCCTTTTATCTTGGCCATGGAACAAAACTAAGTGTGTGGTCATGGATACTACAAAAAGATCTACCTTTTTAAGAGTAATGGTAAAATATCTAACATCTTTTGAGCATTTGCTGTGCCAACTATGTTAAGCCCTTTACCTACATTCTCTCCTTTAGTACTCAGCTCCAGTGAGGGAAAGTATGGATAATTTCCCCACTTCGCAAACTGAGACAAAAGTCAAATAACTTGCCCAAGATCGCACGTTTTCTAAGTGGTGGAGCCAGGTGTGTCTGACTCCAGTCCTCATGAGATCTGCTTCCCTGCTCCTGATTCTGTCACTCCTCCCCTTCTGTCCTTCAGTGGACACAGTACATTTCCAGACCCTAATATGGGAGGGCACCTAAGTCCTCCCGTATTCCAACCCAGCCCATCAGAAATACCCACCATTGCCTAAATTACTCAAAACATCTAGGCCTCCACTTTAGGCTGTTCTCTTAGCCTAGCTGGCCCTTCTTTCTGTGCTAAATCTGAAGTTCAACTTTAAGATCCATCTCAAATAGCTTCTGCTTTCTAGAACTTTCCCTGGCTGAGTCAGTCAGAATTGATTGCTCCCTCCCCAGCAATGCGTAATGTCCCTTCTCTGGTTAGCCTCATCCCTACTAATGCTAGAGAGACGAAGCCACTTGGCCTCTCTCCCTAGATCATAAGCTGCTTGAAGCATTGATTGGATCAGGCTTATCTCCCACTGCCTGTCTGTGGGGCTAATTGTGTATCTGGAATTGGTTGGTTACTAAATTCAGCGTGGTTTCCTTCAGTAGGGAGTAGTGCCCTGGCCTGTAAGGAGTTGACACCACTCTATTTATTTTGAGTTTTATACCAATCTAACTGAGCACTTTCCTTGGCTGGACTCTATAGATTTGTTGAGGAATCTGGAGAAAATTCTCAAGCTTGTCTTTTTTCAGC